TTTTTAAATATATTAAAATAATTTAAAAAAAATAATAAAAATGCCCACCCCCCCACCAAGGTTACACACACTGCACTGATACACACTGCATTCATACACACACTGCATTCATTATATACACAAAATAAATAGTCAATTAATGTAATTTTTTGGGGGATCTAATTTTATTTAGAAATTTACCAGTAGCTGCTGCATTTCCCACCCTATGCTAGACTCGAGTTTTCCCAGTTTTCTGGGATAAAATTAGGGGTCTCGACTTATATTCGGGTCGACTTATACTAGAGTATATACGGTACATGCATATTTATTATATTAGGTGCTATTCAAGACTCCATCGGCACAGACCAAAATTCTGTAAAAAGGTGGTCACTGTTTTGCGGGATGGGTAAAAATAGAGCAATGCCATAAAAATCAATGGGATATCCTTGCTAAATGCTCCATAATTGCACTTTATAAGACAACCACCATATTGATAGATGCGTAATGTGGAAAATGTAATCAAGAGTGCCAGACATTTCCTAGTCTAGTACTGCAGGGTTATCCCTCCCATACCCCCCCTCCCTTTTTTTTTGTGTACTAGCAAAATGTTCACATTTAAAAAAAAAAATTAAAAAAAACTATCAATGCAATGCCTTAACTACATATTTCTGTATGTGTTTCAACTTCTTAAATGATTAAATGTAAAATTGGCCAAAGTAAAGTCTACTTTATCATGTAGGTATGTTCCAAAACGCACTCCTATGTACATATCAGCCTAGAGAATGTAACACTGGACAGCTGATTGATTAGTTATACTATTAAAGCTGACCATCATAGATAGAATAACCTTCCACCAATACTATGCTGCAAAATTTTCATAAACTGTTCATTAAAGATTACTACTGTACATTTTCATATATCAACCATTTATGAAATAAAATGAATACAAATATTTAAGTGACCGTGTTTGGCTGTTTTCTTACATAACACCAGGGGTCAAGACCTGGGTAAAAAGTGTGGAAACTCGCCCAAGATCCCCCCCCAAAAAAATATATGCTCTTATACAAGTGGGACAGGGGCTGAGAAAGAGGGACAGGAGCTGAGGGGTACAAGTGCATTTCCTCCTCCCTGAGGCTTACCTTGGGCCAAGAGGGGTGGGACAGGATCTGGAGCCTGCAGTCAGTGGAGTCAGCCGGCCTCTCCTGATGTCGTCGTCAAGAGGAGGGGGCATGACTTCCTCTGCTCCCCATCGGTCCTGGGAGAAGAGCAGTGAAAGTCACGTCCCCTCCTCCTGACATCAGGAGAGGCCAGCCGACTCCACTGGCTGGAGGGAGAGAGGTGAGTTTAAAAATCCAAGTCCCCAGCCAGAGACAGGGGGTTCAGATTTGTGCTTCCCCCTGCTCTGGCGGCCGTTTGTGCCAGCCCTGGGTCCTGCAGGACTAGTAACTGGAACAGCATTCCTGTTGTGGAAAAAGTGCATGAACGCCGTTTTAACGAGACAATGGTCTTAAAGTGATGCATGCCTCTTTAAGTGTATTTTGTGAATACAAATGCTTAGTGGGTTTAACTTTCCATCCGGGGACACACTATGATAATCATTCTGTTAGCTGGTGCAATTTCAGGAGAACCACCATCCAGTGATCTCACTTGTCTCTAGACAAACTAGGTGACTAAACCCATCGTAACGGTGTTCAATATTTGACAGAGACCCAAATTACATAGATTGCATTATCCTGGCAAACCATTATTAATTTTGTGTCCCCTTCCTAATGTCTTTCAGTGTTGGTTCTGTGAGTTTGTGCATATTTGAGACAGCATGGAAATTAACCAATGTGATAATTTGAAGCCAGTACTGCATAGCAAAGTAAAAATGTTATGCAAGTGGTTGAATTGTCCTACTTTTGCAGAGTTCTTGGAGAGGTACAGTAAAGCATTTCTAGGATTTTAAAGGCCTGGATTAATTGTAACCAAATTATTATATGGCAAAGGGATATAAGCAGTTTTTGAAACAAACAAGTTATGAATACACTATGAAACAATTCAGTTTTATTCACACATCTTCATTATGTTCAGATGCTATCTTTGGTGCAAATAGACAACAGAAAATCTCAATTAAAGGCTAGATTTGATTTTTATTTTTGCTGAAAACAAAAATGAAAAAACTTTCAGCGCGAAATACTATCCCCGTTTGGAATTGCTTTGATCCATAAGGTAGGATTAATTTGAAGACGTTTTCCCACACCATATTTTGTATTTATTTATACATTCTCATATTGATTAGTACACATCTACCCAGTGCCTTTAGGCAGATAATTCTAAGAGGGGTATTTAGGATTATTGGCTTTAGGATTAGTGGGGTTACATTAATGGTACTATGGTATTATGGTACAGGGGATATTTAACCCTAGGTTTAAATCTTTTTAAAAACTTAATTATGGGCTGGGGGAGAAGGTTGGGGTTTTTTTTTATATGCTTTGGTTGCTAAAATTTGGGAAGGAAAGGGTTTCTCATCGTTCTGGGAAATGTTACTTTTTGGGTATGGGAAAACTGTGATTAAGACATGTGGAGTTTGAAGGGGTCATTTGCAAAGTACTTGTTATTTTATGACTTTAGCAGTCAAGATACCCTTCTATGATTAGTAACGGCAATGCAGGAATTGTTGTGCAGTGTGCATAAATCCTGTCTCTGCTTCTCCTGCAAGGCATTTCCTGTGTGATAGTATGGAGATGGGAAATGATCACTCCCCTACTTCCTTTTCAGCCTCACACATAGACACTGGAGGAGCTGGGACAGCACAGAGTTTTACACGTTCTATAACTGCAGCTCTGCTACCAAGCATTCATTACAAGCTATCGAGAGCAAAATAGGCACATTATAAGTGCTGGAAACTACTGCCCCCTAGCTGTCTATTTGGTCCAGAATCTACCCTGACAAATCAATTGGGGAAAAATATATTGCCTGTGTGTATATAGTTGTTTGTGGTTTCTGTTCCTGTAGGAAAAATAAATATCCCATGAGTTTGTGTGAATACTTCCTCTACATAAATTGCAAATGAACTGCAAAAGCTCCATTCAATAAAAAACAGACACTTGTGAAACTCTAAAACGAGCCATTAGCATACATTTTAGTCAATATGATTTTAGATCTTTATTGAAATTGTAAACATAGCAAAAAACAAAACAACAGGAATAAAATGTGTATAGTATCATATACCCTGGAAAGGCCAAAGCAGGTGTCGGGTATGGCATAAAAAGATTAAACACACATTTGTCAAGTGTGTAATGCAGGGTAGCACAGGCATGTTGCACTAGTGGGTGGCTGGATGCTTCTGTAATGCAGACCTTTAATGTGAGCATAGGAACTCCCTACCCCAGTATTTTAGGGTTAGTACCATTTACTACAATGTATTTAGCAAATATGTTTCATAGAACTTTATTAATGCATCAAATATGTAAAATATTTTGCAATATTGATTTTTGCCACAGTCTTTAGTGCAATATAATAATAAAATATAAAAATATTTGAGCAATCCCACAACTGTCTATGGGATTTGTAAGCCTGTTCCTGAGCAAGTCACTTAGGTCAGGATCAGGTTAACAGTAAAATATAAAAAGCTGTATTGGGAGGAGTGAAAATATTCCCTCCAAAACAAACCTTTTATAGCGACAATCGTGTCAGGAATACAAACCTGTATTCTAGCACTATAGTGTTTATAACTATTTTTCTCCAAAAAGGCAGCATTTACTGCGCTCAGCCTGCAGGAACAGGATATAGATACCAGAACCACTACATTAAGCTGTAGTAGTTCTGGTGAATATAGTGTTCCTTTAAGTGGTTTTTGCTTACTCTTTCTGTTCTGTAAAGATACAGATGTTAATTACATTTTTTTTTTTTGCCTTAGCCAAGTTTTCCAGGGGGTTCCTTCACCGAGTTGTAATGAATTGACAATAACATTGTACTTATTTATGCCAAAAAACAAAAAGATTTGTTTTTTTCAAGGCCATTTGCAGAAATATTCCTGGTCAAAAGAACCTGGTTAAGATAACACCATCACAATTACAAAGGAATCAGAGAAAATATACATCGAAAAAGCCTGGTTTAGTGTTATTTCATCATCTGAATTTAAATTTATTTAAACTGAAATAGCCCTACAGGAATAGAAACATGGCAAATATATGTATATATGCTTATACAAATATATATACATACATCTATTTATAAAGAATACATATTTACAAATATCATTACAATGTCATTTTATTCTCTATCTTTGGTATTACATTATGATTTGACGTCATTAAAAATGTGATTAAGTTACTTCACAATAGAGTAGCTCCATACCACTAGTGTGTATGGCTTTATTAAATAAAGAAAAAAAAAAACATTCAGTAATGTTTTATAATGTATTAGTAAATGTCCCACTATTCCCTTGCTTTTTTTTCTCCTCTTTCTAAAAATACAAAGTACATTCTACATTTAAAACACCCCAATCTATAAAAATCATAAAAATTTATTCTATTAAAAATGGCAATGACCACCGGTGTCGCTATTAAAATAGCCAAGGCAACTCTGGTTACAAACTATACCACAATAGAGATTATCAAAAAAAAAAAAAAAAAAAACTATAAAACTGCAATCTAGCTGCATGTTTTATATATCTATGAATTTTTTTTTTTTTTTTTTTTTAAATATCCACTTGCCCAACATATTGGCTAAAAACAACCACACGCCTCTTAAAATAAAGTTTAAAAATAAAAAAACAATACATGTATGTTGCATTAAAAACAGACCCAATACACGTTGGGGAATATAAAAAATATTTTTTTTTCTTTTCTAGATAACTTTACCAAAGATCCTTCTAAGAATTCAGACAACAGAACTGTGTCTTCAAATGATGCACGATACCATCTTATCAGTGTAGTCTGAGGAAAGAAATATTCAGAATCTGAATTCACAAAGAGGCGTAGTAGTTAATCATTACAGAATGACATGAAATTCACAAACCAAATTGTATTGTCCTTTTACACTAAATTAAATTCTCTCAGGTTCAGCTGTAGGATAGTGTCTTTAACAGCAGCAAAGACGAAGCGAATGTTCTCTGTGTCTGTGGCGCAGGTGAAGTGCGAGTAGATGACCTTTTCCTTGTCGGGATTCTGATCTTGGTAAAGTTTCAGTATGAATTCCCGGGCAGATTTTGCATCTTGTTTAGGACCTAAATAAAAGATCATGAATTTAAAAGTTAGGATATGTTGTGCTATCTTAAAATATTATTTATTTAATCTCTGATTCAGAAAAGAGACGTAGAGGAGAACTCTCAATTAGTTTGACATTTTGCATTGATTATTGAATAACTGATTATTTTTTGACAAAAAAAAAGGGGGGGAGGGGAGCAGAAGGAACCTAAAAATTAGAAAAATCTCAATGTATAATTCCTGGTAAAATATTTTTATAAATAAATAACTTAAAATTTTCACTGCATTTGCTGAAGCATACATGCACTAATCATGTCATATGCACCAATATATGTCTTGTCATCACTCACACACACACCTGTTTTAAGATAAATCATGAATATTACACATGGGTATTTGTAACAAAAATGTTTTACCAGAGAACTCTGGAAAGTAGTCGATTAGGTGGGAGAACATGATTTTTTCCTCTAAAAGATCCTTTTTGTTCAAGAAAAGAATGACTGAAGAATGCTGGAACCAAGGATATGTGATGATGGTTCTGAACAGGGCTTTGCTTTCCTCCATCCGGTTCTAATAAGACAATTAAAGTAAAAATACCTCAATTAAGTATTAACAAAACATTCCAAAAGCAAGAATTAGGACATAAATAAGTTGAAATGGTTTATAAGAGGTTTAGGAGTTGCTTTTATGTGAATACCTGTGGCCAGTGTACAAAAACATTTTTTTAACAAGATAATATTAAATATGGTTCTCTAATAGACTGACCTGCAGAATTTGTTTGATATTGTATTTAGATTTAGCAATGATATGATGAATCAAAGCAAGCCCAAACTGTACTTCTAAGTATAGATGTGAGGCTGTCGCGAGTCATGAAAGATTAATTTAAAGTTGGGTTGAGATTGCCTATGCAATTAAAGAATACAAAATAATGAGACTGATATAAAGGGTCCCTCGACAAATAAATAGAGGGTGCCATTTCTTCAATTCCTAATGAAGAAAAATTAACTCTCATACACAAGATTGTATAATGGTCCAGTGCCTTGATCCTAATACCAATAGTGCAAAAGATGTCCAATCGCTCAATCTCTAATAAAATAATTGTAAATTTTTGTTTATTTTTTAAAAGGACAATTATTTCTACAGTCTTGCTACCTACGGTGTGTGACCTATAAAAAAAAAAAATAAAAAAAATAAATAAATCATGGAAGATCGTAACAATTGTAATTGTTGTTACTTCTATCTCTATAGGGTTTTTTTTGTTTGTTTTTTTAACTTTTTTGACATACCAAACCTCTAATACTTATTAGAGGGAGTGGGTATGTAAAGAATTGAGCACTTTTGAAGATTAGAACCTCAGAACCATAGCCTGCGAGAAAAAGACTGTCTCAAGATCCAGACAGTCTTAAGAAAAAAAAAAAATAACTATTATGATTGTGCACCATTTGGTTATTCAGACCAGGGGATAGGGCTTGATTTAAATCCCCACTGATTAATCTTGACATCATGTGGATCTGACATTATGTAGCTCTCTCACATTAATAGTGAGGTCAAAGATGCCAAACAAGTTTATTTCAATTTACCTTGGTTTTTATCGTCAGTGTCATGTGAACCCAGCCCTTACATAGAAAAAAAGATAGATCTACTTAAAGTTATGCTCAGACGTCCGTTTATACTATTACCTCATTATCGCACTCTGCAAGGACTTGATCATATTCACTCAGTGCAACTAAGAAAATAATGGAGGTAACATTTTCAAAACAGTGAATCCACTTCCTCCTTTCAGATCTCTGTCCTCCTACATCCACCATCCTATTAAATACAAAATACAGAAAAACAGTCAAAGGTTAGAGTATTTCATATAAGCTCTATTAGAAAATGTAAACATTTAATTTATACAATGTCTGTATTTACTACTATTTAACCCGGTGAAAGACAACTGGGTTAAGGGGGGAAATAATTTGTGGGGTCCCTGAAATGATGTATAGGTGGGCACAGCCTATGTCACTAGGATGTGGACCTAGGAATTGTTTCCTATGTTATTTTCTCTCTCTCTATAATTGTGTGTATAGATATACACATACACACTCTCTCTCTCGCTGTGGGGTTCAATATAATACTCACTGTGTTTGAATGCATAATTTGGTTACATAACAATAAAACTTTTACATGATATAATTTACCTATCCCCCCATCACTCCCTACTTTTCCCAGAGTGTGTTTTGGGGTGTTGTTGCAGTGTGGAGCTAGTTATCCTGTTAAATCCCAGACAGCAGAAATTACACTAAATTTATTAAAAGCTTGTCCTATTGGAACGATATCCAAAGGCAACAAAATCTGCCCTTCCACACCGATTAATTTGAAAAATACTAATAAAATTACTTATTTTTTCAGGAGAATACGGTGAAACTTGTACAAAATGTGTGACTGCAATACTCTTAAAATAAGGCAACTTACCTAAAAATTATGTTTTCTAAATCAAACGGATATTCAATTATTCCAGTGGTGGGCACTCTGACTCTCAGTACGTCTTGCTGAGTGGGTACATAAGCAGGAACGGAAATCCGATCAATGTCACTAAGATAGCTGGGGGAAGAAGTAGTCATACAGAATTTTGAGTTATATAATCAAGATAATGCAACAACACTCATTAGCCAGGACTGCAAATAATGTCAAAAGCTACTTGTGCACAATTAATATATGGCACAATCTACAGATCTTCAGGATATTGCAAAGCCAACTTTATTTTCTAACAGTTCATATACTTTTGGGTGCACCTGAGAGGTTTTGTTTAGCTAGTGTTACTTTTTTCACTGATAGTCTTGCAAATGCATTTTCACTGTTTATTATTTTCACCTATCTGATCCTTCATATCTTTTTATCCCAAATGTTATCTTCTCTTGTTTTTCATCTCTAATGTACTCTATATCTCCATGGCTCCCGTCCCATAATGGTGTTTTGATTTTTTTTCCTAACACCAGACCTTATATTTCAGACTGGGCCCCAAATAACAGCAGTGATGAGTAGTGATGTCCCGAACGGTTCGCCGGCGAATAGTTCCATGCAAACATCACAGTTCCGTCCGCCCCCTATTCGTCATCATTGATTAAACTTTGACCCTGTACCTCACAGTCAGCAGACACATTCCAGCCAATCAGCAGCAGACCCTCCCTCCCAGACCCTCCCACCTCCTGGACAGCATCCATTTTACATTCATTGTGAAGCTGCATTCTTAGTGAGAGGAGGGACAGTGTAGCTGCTGCTGATTTAATAGGGAAATGGATAGCTAGGCTAGTGTATTCAGTGTCCACTACAGTCCTGAAGGACTCATCTGATCTCTGCTGTAAGGACAGCACCCCAAAAAGCCCTTTTTAGGGCTAGAACATCAGTCTGCTTTTTTTTTTCTGTGTAATGTAATTGCAGTTGCCTGCCTGCCAGCCTGTGTGTCAGGCTCACAGCATATACTGTGCCCACTTGCCCAGTGCCACCACTCACTCACTGGTGTCACAATAGCTTGCATTTAAAAAAACCAAAACTTTTTGGACTGTAATATAATAGCAGTCAGTTTCCTTCACGCGTGTGCGTTTCAGGGCCTGTAATCTGATCGTACAACGCTTTGTGCATAAGTACCCAGGCTTACAGGACGTCCTGAAGCAGGCCAGGAAGGTGTGTGGCCATTTCAGGCGTTCCTACACTGCCATGGCGCACTTTTCAGGTATCCAGCGGCGAAAAAACATGCCAGTGAGGCACTTGATTTGCGACAGCCCAACACGTTGGAATTCAACACTCCTAATGTTCGACAGCCTGCTCCAACAAGAAAAAGCCGTTAACGAGTATTTGTATGACCGGGGTGCTAGGACAGCCTCTGCGGAGCTGGGAATTTTTTTGCCATGTTACTGGACACTCATGCGCAATGCCTGTAGGCTCATGCGTCCTTTTGAGGAGGTGACAAACCTAGTCAGTCGCACTGAAGGCACCATCAGCGACATCATACCATTTGTTTTCTTCCTGGAGCGTGCCATGCGAAGAGTGCTGAATCAAGCCGTAGATATATACAATATGTATTACCCTCCTCCACCCTACTAAAAAAACTAAACAAAGCAAAATGTTGTATTGTTTTTAATTATTGGATATAACATGACAGATTGTGGTTTGAAACATAGCCAGTACGTGAGGCTACTCCTTAATCCAGAGATTGGTAAACTGCTATTGAGCAAGAAGTCAGTATTAAAGGATTTGAGTGTAGAGGAAAGCATGGTTGACAGTATCACTAACAGAGTATTTTAAAAGAATATCTACATTCTGTTTTATTTGAAAAAAAAATTTTGTGGAAAAATCAAGCTATGTTCATTTAATTGTTGGCATATGAAATAAAATAACCGAGGCAAGGTGTGTGTATTTGTTTAGAAGACACAGGCCACTTACTATTTAGCAGAGTCTGACAGCTGGTACTCTCTCCTCCGGTCATAGCACTCCTGGATTCCAGGGTCTTCCCACAGCTTTTTGATTGCTTCCACTTGCTTTCTTTCTAGGCTGGACACTTTGTCCACTTCCACCTCCCGGACCAATAAAGCATTTTCCTAAAGGCACAAAAAGGAATCCATTATTAATATTATGATAGAGAAAAGAGTTGCAGCATGTTATTAGTGATTGAATGCTAAATTTGGGTGCAATCAGTATCTAGAAAGTGATAAAGGATTTCTTGTTTTAACCCTGCTTCATTTTTGATGCCATGAGCGAAGCACAAAGTGCACACTGCCTGCTTAAATCGAGGATGTAAGTACTCAAAATGTTAAGAATGTAATGAACTAGAAAATTAAAATAGCTGAAACAAGCCTAGGTTGTAACGGATATCTGACTTAACTAAACAAAAATGTGAAAATCCCATTAACCAATCCGTGTGAGCATAGCAAGCATTCCGCTTTGAATGATTTTCTACTGTTCACCACAAGATGTCAGTGTTTTCCCATGAGTTCCATTTAACAAAGCTTCCAAATAACTTGCACTCATTTCTCTAAGAAGCCCATAGTCCTCACAAACAGCCTCTATTGTGATCTATTGTTCTTTGTTGAAAAACAGAGCCTTTGAGACAGTTTAAAGTGAAAACTGTGCGGACAAAGTGTTAAGAGGAACTATTACTATGTCATTGATTTCATTAAAAACCCCGAGCTAATTTGCATATGTAAAACAAAAAAAAGCAAAATAAAAAAGGCAATGGCAGTGAACACGTGTACTCACTGCATAATAGGATAAACAGGAGCATGCAAGGCATCTTGGGAAACTGTCACACTCAATCATAATAAATATTATTGGTGGAAAAAAAGTCAAAGTTCCTCCTTAAACTTGCAATCAGAAGCAAAGTTAATTTGGTTTCAGTGGAGATTGCTCCAAACATACTTGAAAACTAAAGAAATCTCAATGTATCTTTCCTGGCAAAATATTTTCTAAATAATAACTTTTCCCCAAAACTGCTCTAGTGTTTGTTTTAATAGATAAAAACCAACCCAAATGATTAAATTGCCTAGCTAAATACCAATTGCCATTATATCAAAGCCTATTACAGCCTTTAAATCCAATGTAAATTGTAATTAAACAATACAAACCATCATTATGATTTATCCTCTATATTTACACGTGCTTGTTTGTAAAGAGTGGAAAATTAAATTGTAGAAATCCCCACCTATCCTGTAATTGGGCATTCAGTGTAGAGAAAAGAAGTAATGCTTCTGTTTTTCCTCTTTTGCAATGTGCTCAGGCTGTCAGTGGCCTGAACTGGACTGCAGAGGCGGCTCTCTTATTACTCGGTTTAGGCGGCCGCCAAAGGCCTCGTGCTAGAAGGGGCCTCGCGGCCGCCTAAACCGAGTAATTAGAGAGCCACTGCAGTGCTTTCAAATATTATAGAATATTTTAATGCCGGCCGGCGGCCGAATCAATATTGCCGCGGCGCCGGCTCTATTACAAGATGAAACCCTCTCACATGGGTTTCATCTGTGCAGGAGTGAATCCCCTCCCTTTCTCCTGCACGCTACCTGGTAATCGGCCAATCAGTGATGCCGATGACGTAACCCCTCCCTGCATTCCCCCGCCTACGGTACCATAAAGAAGAGAAGAGGAGCTGCTGAAGAAAAGAGAGCAGAGGAGAAGGGAGAAAAAGGTAAGGAGAGCAGAGGAAAATAAATGGAGAAAGAGAGCAAAGGAAAATAAATGGAGAAGGAGAGCAAAGGAAAAAATGGAGAAGGAGAGCAAAGGAAAAATGGAGAAGGAGAGCAAAGGAAAAATGGAGAAGGAGAGCAAAGGAAAAAATAAATGGGGAAGGAGAGCAAAGGAAAAATGGAGAAGGAGAGCAAAGGACTCAATAGTTTTAGCATTGTGATTTGAAAATTGACAGGGTTATTCACTAAAGTGTGAATTGTTGGGAATTTAAAGGGACACTATACTACTGCTTAATGCAGTGGTTCTTATTCAGAGACTGTGCCTACAGTCTCAGCAATGTAAACGCACTGCCTTTTCTGATAAAGGGCAAGTTTTTACATTGCTTTCTATGACCTCCTCTAGTGGCTGTCACACACACAACCCTTTATTGTTCGGTCCTGCAATCTTTGCTTGAGCAACATTTGGCATCTTCACGCTCTACATGAAGATGCCGTAGGTTTCTCATAAAGATGTATTGACCTAATGCATGAGGAGATGCTGATTGGTGCAGCGTGGCATTTGCTGCACATGCACACTAACCTTCCATCAATTTATCCCTTTGTGGAGATCATCATCATCGGAGAGTAAAACTTATATAATTATTGTTTTAGGTGGGTGCAAGTAAAACATTCGAACATTGGAAAATCTGTTACATTTTCAACTCAGCTAGTTTAACCTAAAAATTTGAATTTACTTTGAATTCCCAACATTTTTGACTTTAGTGGATAAACTTTATAATTTGTGATATTTAGACAAATTTACCAAGTTGTAAATCTAGCTAGTGTTTAAGAATGGTTTCCAATTTTTTATTAACAAAAGAAATTCACATACATGTGAAAAATAGTTCACTTGTCTCTACAAAGACTACAAAAGTTGAAATTTGAGTCTAATTCTCATCATTCACGTGTAATCTTGTACTAGGTATGCATTTAACGAAAAATAAATGTCAATGATCCAATTTTTGTAAAGCATAATTTGGATTTTTAAATTAATCGAAAACGTTTGCTGCTTTGCTTCTGTTACCTAAGGAAACAGGAAAAGGTTAGTTCTAAAACTGAAAAGAATGCCTTTTTTCACTTTTCAATGTTCACTTTTTTCATCATTTAGGCAGTTTATTTAAGAAAGAAAAAATAACCTTTCATTTATTGCAATAGTTTAATGTTATTATAATGTTTTATTGTACAAAGACAATACAAAAAAAGAAGCGCATCAATAGATTCTTCCTGGTAAGATGTTTTCTAAATAAAAAAAGTGTGTCTGCATTTAACAAAGCACATGCACAGCAGAGCATTGTTACCCATAAGGCAGCTTAGGCAGCTGCCTAGGGCCAGGGCTTAGACAGTGACTCCTGTCTGGGTCTGGATGTCCAGTTCTGTCACTGAGGGGGCCCTTCCTAAGGCTCTTTTCAATGACTCAGAGCTCCATAACCAGTACTCTGAGTAATTGACTGAGTGCTGGAATATCGAGGGAGCTGTTCAAGTGATCTGCAGCTAATATCAGTGCAGACCTCAATGCTCCACCACCGAACCACCAGGCACCTTCTCCAGCTTACCCTCCACCAGACCACTAAAGATCCAGTCCAAAGTGCCCTCAACTGGACCACCAGGGATAATAGTCTGGCATGATTATAGTGAAACAGAGGCAGGAATTACCACCAGCCAGTGAGTAACTCTGCACAGGAAAGACAAGTGCTGATCGCTCAACCATGCTACAGGATTAACCGATGAGCTGCAGGAGGAAATATTGATGGGTTGACTGCTTAGTGATTGGTTGTGGAGGACCTTAAATTTCAGCCAGCCAATTTACTTCTATTCAGGTTGTGTGCACAGCCTGCATATCAGCATATGTTACAAATCCCTGGTGTACAGGGCCCAAAGGGCAGCTGCTAAGGATCCCTACATAATACAGGGACTAAAGTATCAGCCCATTTTGCCCTGTGGTAAAGACAGCCCTTTTCTTGCCTCCAGCAAAGTGCTCAGCTGCTCCACATGTTTTGGAACACTTAGTGTTTATCTGCCGCTAATGAAATGTGCTGCTAAATACAAGTCATTTTCCTAAATTGCTTTTTGTTAAAAAACCCTTTCATAAAGTTAATTCATAAAGTTAATTTCAGAACGTTAAATTGAGCTAACAACTTTTAATTGTATAGGTATAAAATATTATTTGCTTGAAATCCTCATTGTATCTATGGTGTAAAAATCGAAATAGATTGGATTCTTTATTCAGGCCCTGTTGTCCTAAACAATTAAGTTCACACACCCAGAAAATGTATTTCTTTTTGAGCAGGCAGGAGTCCCTGTTGTGATAAGAAATTCTGGATACATGAAATCAATTGTTTATGGCTATTGGGTCCAAATAAAGAATTTGATTGAATTCCACTTTTATAGAAATATAGATAAACTGAAACTAATTTTCTTTCTTTCCCTGAAATGTATCTAAATGTATCTAAAAATCAACCGAGTACAAGTGTATGTGGTATGTATTTCCTTTTGTAACATCATTATTTTTATTAATTGTATAGCACCAATATTTTCTACAGAGATGTAAGTAAACTATTCAATTCAGTAAAACATGACACACCAAGTTCAATAAAGAGAACCAAGGAGACCAAAAGGGAACATGACCATAGGAAGCAGGGGTGATGGATCCCCCAGATAATTTTGTAGAGCGAGCACGGGTAGTAGTGTTAAATAGAGGCAGCATCCAACTGCAAGCAGATCCGTCTTTAACGCGGGGCAAAAATGGCAGCTGCCCGAAGCCCTGTCATCCTAGGGGCAGCTGCCCATTCAGCCCACTGGCCGCCGTGGTGCGTGCGGCCCGTGTGGAACTACCATCTAAGGGCCACCCAATGGCAATGTATTTTCAGGGATCCGGTCAGCACTGCGGCACTTTAAGAGTGGACCGGGCCCCCTGTGGTGATGTCACAATGCTGGGAGGAGGTCACTGCCTCCCAGCATTTACCGAGCGCCGCGCAGGAGGAGAAGGAGGGAGGAAGGAGTCAGAGCTCACACTTGGCCTGAGGCAGCCATTGGACCCCAGGGGAAAATTTTAATTTTGCATGTTTGTATGTGTATCTGTTTGTATGTGTGTCTGTATGTGTATCTGTGTATGTGTGTCTGTATCTGTTTGCATGTGTGTCTGTGTATCTGTTTGTATGTGTGTCTGTATGTGTTTCTGTTTTTGTGTGTCTTTCTGTTTGTATGTGTGTCCATTTGTGTATCTGTATGCCTCTGTGACTGTATGTCTGTATGTGTATGTTTATCTGTGTCTGTATGTGTATCTGTGTGTCTGTATGCATATGTGTGTCCGTATGCCTACCTGTGTCTCTATCTTTTTGTACGTGTGTAACTGTGTGTCTGTATGTTTATCTGTGTGTGTGGATTTGTCTGTATGTGTATCTGTGCGTGTAAATGTTTGTATGTGTCAGTATGTGTATCCAAATGTGTATCATTCTGTGTGTCTGTATCTGCATGTGTGTCAGTGTAGTTGTCTGTGTATCTGTATGTGTATTAGTGTGTATCTTTGCATCTGTATATGTATGTGTGTTATTGTGTGTCTGTATCTGCATGTGGGTCTGTATGTATGTATCTGTATGTTATTGTGTATTTGTCTGTTTATCTGTATGTGTGCTAGTGTGTGTTTATCTGCATGTTTGTCAGTGAGTATCTGTGCATCTGTGTATCTGAATGTGTGTAAATGTGTATGTATGCACTTGTGTGTATATGTATCTGTCTTTGTATGTCTGTACCTGTCTATGTGTGTATCTCTATGTATGTCAGTGTCTGCATCTGTATGTGTGTCAGTGTGTGTATTTTGTCTCAGTAAAAAAGAGTGTGGCTAAGTGTGTTTTTATTTAGGGGTTTTTTTTGTGTTGGTTTTTTTTTTGTGTGGGGTCGGAGTGCATGATTGCATGCTAGGCCCAGGGGGCCCAAGCAAATGCCTGCCCAGGGTCCAATTAGTATTAAAGATGGCCCTGACTTCAAGCAGACAGCAATGGCTTCCAATGGACAGTTGGTTTCTGCATACTCTAACAGCAAAAGCAGCTTTTCTATCTCGCTCATAGACACACTTGGTATAATGAGTCTGAGGGACAGGATGTAATGTGACATCACTTCCTCCCATCACTCAGACTAACTGTGCCCAGCTGGGCTTTTATGAAAGCTGTCTCTCCTTATCGAACATGAAAAATATAGCTTGAATCCTTACTAGAGTAGAGACTAGGCAAATAATCCTTAAATCCAGAAAAACAGACAAAAGAAAGCAATAAATTGAAAGCACGGGGACCAAGAGAGAAGACAAGTTAAATCACATGGACATTTTCCTATGGTCAACACCTCTACACATGTTTTTCTTTGATTGAAACATATTGATACTCCTTATTTAGATATAGATGCATGTCCACATGTTTTCCCACACTTCACTCTGAGAGGCGTACATTTTTTTGAAATAGCTCGTGGATACAGTTTGTTTCTTTAAAATAATTTTCTTATTTTACTGTGTTGGCTAATGTCACGGCACCCCACCTGATGAGAATATCAGAGGCATTTTCCTATGCGCTTAGTATACTTACACAAACGCCGTCTCCATGCGAGTGCTCCTCCTTCTGTCATTCTGTCCAAAGAGAGCTGCTGCATATCAAAGCCTTTTTATGGCTCTGCCTCCTTAGACCAGGTTGATGACATGGATTTGCATACGTCATCACTAGTGATGTCCCGGACAGTTCGCCAGCGAATAGTTCCTGGCGAACAACGCTTGATTGCGTTCGCCACGGACGGCGAACTTATGCGCTGTTCGGTCCGCCCCCTATTCGTCATCATTGAGTAAACTTTGACCCTGTACCTCACAGTCAGCAGACACATTCCAGCCAATCAGCAGCAGACCCTCCCTCCCAGACCTTCCCACCTCCTGGACAGCATCCATTTTACATTCATTGTGAAGCTGCCTTCTTAGTGAGAGGAGGGACAGTGTAGCTGCTGCTGATTTGATCGGGAAATTGATAGCTAGGCTAGTGTATTCAGTGTCCACTACAGTCCTGAAGGACTCATCTGATCTCTCTGACCTCACTACCCCCCCCCTTCCCCACATTACCCCCTCCCCCTTCTCACATTACCCACCCGCCTCTCACCATCACCCGCCCATACACACAACACACTTCAAGCAGCTACCCCATACACATAGGGTCTCAGACAAAAACGCAAACATGCTCACAGAGACATACATTCACACACAAAGATACTCTCTGTCAGACACACTCTCAGGCACATACACAGGTAAACTGTGCATCAATGTGTATATGTGACACTTTTTTGTTAGTGGGGCCTCATGTTTGAGTTTCGCCTAAGGCCTCAAAGTCTAGAGCCGCCTCTGCTGGACTGTGATCTCATTTACTAAAACTGTACAATACATTTAAAAGGAACTTAAGTACAACATAAAAAGGCAAGTTATAAGCATTTATTCAACAGTCTAACAGTGACATGCAAACTATTTGTTTCTTTCATTCATTCAATTTTAAAATCTAATTTGTCAATTTTCCAACTGAGTTGATAGTTCTTCATAGCACAATATAATGATAACCAACACCTGTTGCAAAAAGTAATAACACACGAAGAGATGGCTAAACTGTAGCAGTACGAGTTATCATAAAACAGAAGTTCTTGTAAAATATGGAACTGTGTTCATAGCCTGCCTCTTTCTTATTGACTTCTAGAGTCTGCTCTACATTCGCAGAGCCAAGAGGATAGGGAAAAAAGAACACTATTGATGCTGTTTCAATCACTGAAATTAGCACATCTGTGCTGGCACTATAGTTTAGCATTTCTTAATTATCCTTTACCCTACTACTACTATTAACAAGATTTTCAAGCTAAACTGCTCTGAAATTAGTCATTCATTCACCTTATTAAAAATGATAAGTTTGTGAGGCTGGATAATAGATTATATAACAGTGGTTATGGTGCCAAGAGCTCTTTGGCGCTGTCCCATGGTAAGCTGTCAAACAATTTTAGTCAGGTTTGACAACTTAACTGGGTCTCACTGGGTGCCTGCAATCATATCATCTGTATCTAATTTTCCCCAGTGAGAGAAGCGCCAGTTGTTACTGTCAAGTATGGCTGATGGAAGAACTCATTAGCTAAGAGCACTCCGCTGACACTTTCAGCCAATGGGCATGACCCTCCTTTGTACTAGGGGCAATCCAAATTCTTCTGCTGGTGAAAACTGGATGCCGCTGACACGGCCACAGTGGGATCAAGATATGTTTCAAACTGTACTAAAATGGTACCGTGGGTTAACCTTGTAAAGTGCCAAGGTACTCCTAAGCCACTTCAGTACACTGAAGTAAGAACTTTCCAGTGTCACCAACAGGATTACAGCAGCAAGCAACAGACCAACCGCTCCAACAGAAGGTTACACTCCGTCACCAATACCAACAAACTCCATATTGGATCACGTGGAGGATAAACTAAAAAAAAAAAAACTAAAGCTTATTTCTATTCTATTCCACAAACCCAGAGATTTAGCACAGACATAACGGTGTTATAACTTGTTTAGTTTTATTTCAGAGCGGCTCTGCAACATTTACATTTCCTGCATCAAGTGTCAGTGTTCTGTTTAAAATAATTACCATGCCTAATCTAATGTAAATACTTCAGTGTTTTCTTTTTAAACAGATAAACTATATACATTGTACATATTTCTATTTTTGATGAATTCACTACAGCTATACAGTTAAAGTGACACTCTCGGCACTTGAATTGGTTTTAGTGCCTGGATTCCTCCGGTACGGTCCCATGATTTGTTTTAAATCTCAATCAGCATCCATGGCTGCACCCCAAAGGTATAGCTAATGCAGTTAATGCTCTGCATCAACCATACCAATTCATACCATCAAAAGGTGACTAAAGACAGATCACTCCGTTGACACTTATGTCACAGCGAACATAGCCTGAGCAGCAGAGAGGGGACAGACTGTGGGTCACCCTCATTCAGTGTCCATTTGAAAACTGTTTAACACTCAACAGTGGAATGGTACCATACCAAATCACTCTACTAAACATATATAGTTATGGTTCCTAGAGTGATCATTTAACGGTTCAGCAGCCAAACCTATTATTTTTTTTTCTAAATTCTTTATTTTTATTGTGCTCCAAGTGAAAAATATACAAGCTCGTGGTGCCCCAATTGCATATTTTCAGGCATAACATTCGGAGAATGAAGATTATCGGCACATTTTTTGTTTAAACATTAGAGTAATGTGGAGTAGTTTTAAGTATAGATATAATACGACAGTGTATCTGCGAGTTATAAACAGGCTTGTGTAGCCACAATAGGAAGTACAGGCTAGTAATACAATACATATTAACCATTTGTATGGAAATAGCTAACAGCACCATTTTTGGTAGAGTCAGCATAGGTTCAAGATAGTAAAACAAGCTTTATAGGGGTGTCTAAAGCGTGAAATTCTAGCATTTTCTAAATAGATTACATAGACTGACCATATGAAGCCCTCTGGAGTTGAGGCTAACCAGAGACAGATGGGGTAGTTCGGGAGGCAGTGGGCCTGCTAAACTCAATGTGATCTCAAATCGAGTGCCTATGTGCAGTTCACAATACCCGCTCAGCCTGCTCCGGTGGTTGGGAAGCTTGCAGTGCATACCGATGATTCATAGAGACTAAGTGTCCCATTCACCGAGTTGTGCCGCCTGGTGTATAGATCCTTCATGCGGACAGGGAGAACCGGGCAAAGGGCTGCTTTCCATGCTTGGGTATGGTTTCTTTCTGGCCCCCGGCCCGTGGGAGAACCTACGCCGGTCGAGGGGTTGAGTCCTGCAGGTGGTCGGGTTGAGGTTCAGGTGAGATGCGGATGCCAGCAGCGCTGAGCTTCAGTGATTAGTGGGTCACGTGGATAACATGTTGTACAGGCACCTTATCAGAGCTGCAGTCCCGGTCACGTTTCAGTCGGTGCCCCGCAGAGGCAAGGCAGACCCCCCCCTCGTGGTAGATTTTTCTGCAGGATTTGAGGTGCATTGGAGCTGTTGTGGTCATAACGTAGGCTCAGCATGATCTGCATGGGTCAACCCTCTGCACTTCGAGCTTGTGGAAAGCCTAATTTGCGGGGACTCAGGTGGTGAGTGCCTTGTTGAGGCTCTGTGTTTCTTGCATGTTTTATAAGGTTTTATAGGTCGAGTTCCGTCATAGGTTCCCACTCACATGGCCTCTGCCATCTTGGATGTAGGCCTTAGGCCGTGTTGTCTCCGGGTCCTAGTTGTGCCTTGGTGGGTAAGTGTGGCTACAGGTTGTGGACCGGGATTACCCCCAACGGTCCAGGGGGCAGGGGAGGGAACAGGACCGGGTCCGCCAAGGTTCTGTGTGCCTGCTGGGCCCCTTTAAACAGGATAGAGGAGCAGCGGCCGTTCACTCCACTCACCACCGGGTAAGGTCCTGCTTGGAGCAGCGAGGACCTCTCCTACGAGGGACAAAAACTCTGGGAGCAAGCCTCACTTCGGATCCGGTGCCCCCTGCACATGGATGGTCGCGGTTGTTGGTGGTTATATTCACCTAATTGCTTGGGTTATGGGCTTATTTGTTGGTGGTTTGCATGAGCTGATCTTCCCTGTGACCATCCAGTTTGGTGGTCCGGCCCCACCCCCCCAAACCTATTATCTTAACAAAACTAACAAAAATATATAAATAGCCTATGCATAAAGAATTTTTTTTTTTTAATGCTTATATTAAAATAATACACATTTATCTAAACCATACAATGATACTTAAAGCAGGAAATGTAAAAATGTGGCAGAGCTGTTCTGTAATAAAAAGAGTATGTATAAGTTCTCATAACGAAAGTCAGTCGTTTAGCATCATTGCTCTTTGAAAATATTTGGAATTAAAAATATATATATTGGCTTATTTTGAGACAGATCGAAAATAGTTCACTGGTTAACGGCATTTATACAGTTCATTCTCAATCATGATGAAGTAATCGGCTTAAGGAGTGATGACTTTCTGTAGTTTGAGGTTTGGGTGCCAACAGGAAATACATTTTTTGCAGAAAATGCTTAGGGTCGCATGGAATCACTTGGTCTGAGAAGGTTTCTGTTCTTTACACTGCAAACTGGCCAGGAAAAAGAGTTAATTAGATCTCATCTGTCAAATTCTGCTTCTGTGTGTGCATTGCCCCTTACTTGACCTTTAATTGGGCTCTTTATTGGCCCTCATTACAGTGCTCACAGTAGCACATGATGGCCTATTCAGGGGTGCAGAGTGGATTACTGCACAGAAGCTTCCTTTAGAAGGTGGTGAGAGGTGATGTCGGGGGAAATCCTGTGTCAGTACAGGAAAGCGGGTGTGGTTCCTCTTTAGAGGGAACACTGATCCATAGCACCAGAGAGGCCTCTCTCACTGCTCTTTGTTAATTCACAGCTTAGCAACTTGCTTTGAAGTATTCAGTAACTGTGGTGTTCGAAATGTCTGCTTCACAAGTCACAATGTGTAAACTGTGATTTGATGTATGTTACACAACAATGCTGCAGAGAAATGTATGAGTTTAGACTGCGCTGAGTTCACTGGTCGCACAGATGGCAACGGCTACAGTCTATAGTCGCCAAAAAACTGACAGCGGCAAATGACTGTTTGGTAGATAACTTGCCAACTTGTCGTATGGCTTGGCTGTCGAATTAAGAAGCATAAATCACGTGGAGCTTAGGTTTTGGAACTTTAAAAACTTGCAGCTTCTACAGAAGCAAAAATCCTGTATCGCTTGTGCATCTGCACCAACTAAATAAAATGGAACAGAAATAATGCTAACAGAGATTGGTTCTAATCTTAAGAAACCAATGCTAAATGTTTGCAATGCTTTTAATGTCGCAATCTCAACAATACGTGCTTCAGACCTATAGCTGTCCAACAGCGGACTTCCCCTGACCCATTAAATAGATTTATTTAATACAACTAGCAGGTGGATTAAGGTTTCCTGGGCTGTTTATAGGTGCTGCATTGTATGTTCACTTGTGGACTGCTCTATTAATGACATATCTAACCCAGAAAACATGCTAATATACTTTAGTGCAGGGGTAGTCAACCTTTTAAAACATACCGCCCACTTTTGAATCTTTGATGGTAAAATTTCCTTAACGCCCACCAGTGCCACAGTAACTAATTTTATAGCGCAAGTGCGATTTATTTTTCTACTTTTTTTTTGGAAATGAGGATTTAAAAAAAAAACAAAACAAAAAAAACACTTTAAATTTTGTATCTTTTCTATTCTATTGTTTTTCTATGTGTGTCTGTGAGGTGCAGTGTGTGCGCGAGGGATGCAGTGTGTGCGCTGTAGTTATGTGAGGGTGGCCAGTGTGTGTGTGAGGCGGCGCAGTGTGCATAGGGTCTATGCTGTATGTAGGTGGGTGAGATGTGAAAATCTATCTTAAAGTCTCCCTCTCCCTTTTTCTTATCTTTTACCAGAGGCAGGGGCAGGGCCGTCTATAATATGATTAGGACCCTGGAAAATGCATTTTCTTGGGCCCCCTAAGCCCTACCCCTCCCGCCGCCTCACCCCCAAATTACGCCCAACCCGCAATCACACTGACAGACGTACTGGCACAGACACACACAGACAGACATTAAAACATTCACAGATACATACGGACACACACAGTCACTGACACAAATATATACACACACAGACATACACTAACAGATATACTGACACACACAAGCATACTGACAGACACATTGACACACACACACACACACACAGACAGACGTACTGGCACATACACACGGACAGACATTAAAACATTCACAGATACATTCTGACACACACATACACAAATATATCCTGGCAGACATACTGACCCAAACACACACACATACATACACACACACAGACACATACACTGACAGACATACTGACACACACAGACGTACTGGCACATACACCCAGACAGACATTAAAACATTCACAGATACATACGGACACACATACACTGACACACAAATATATACTGGCAGACATACTGACACACACACACACACAGACACACACACACAGACACACAGACACAGACACACACAGACACAGACACACACAGACACACAGACACAGACATACACACACAGACATACACACACAGACATACACACACAGAACTACTGACATACATTTAGCCACCCTCCAGGTTCTTACCTTTACCAGGAGGGTGGTTTCCCTAGTCCTCTGGAACTCCCCTCCTCCCTGCCTTCCTCCCCCCCAGCGCGCCCATTATCTCCGACGTCACTTCCTCCCAGCCGGCTGCAGAACAGGAAGGGGCCCGGTCGCGCTGTTTAAGCGCCACAGCGCCCAACCGGGCCCCTGCTGACACATGCTCCCCGGGTGGCCCTTAGTGCATGAGACACCCGGGGAGCCTCCTCAGTGTGCAGGAGCCGCAACGCCCGGTCCATAGGGGCTGCGCAAATCGCGGGGCCCACGGAGCAGCTGCTCTGGGCCCCCCAGGAGCAACTGGGCCCGGGGCAGCTGCCCCGTTTGCCCCGCGTTAAAGATGGCCCTGGGCAGGGGGACCTAATGCTGCAAGCCCTGGTGGGTCCAATGGTGGCATGTTCACTTTAGTCTGCAGCTCTTTTGACTGCAGGCTGACTCTCCTGTCCTCCTGCGAGCACAGCGCTTAATTGGAGCATTGACATAGTAACGTGCGGCAGCGCTCCGTCCAACCTGCTCACGGGAGGATCACAGAGCCTCCCAGGCCCTCCGCTCCCTCTGCTGGAACTAAATGCCAGCGGCCTAGTGAAGGAGATCTTTGATTTCCTCACCAGCCCGAGAGGGGGAGATGTTTTCTCACCTGCAAGGCTGTCTCTGCATGGGCCAGCAGGGGAGATGAAAGTATCTTCCCTGCCGGCCTTGGTTCATGTCGAGATCGAGGCCCACCGGACATTTTCTGCAGAACCCACCACTGCCCAACTGAAATTCCAAACCGCCCACTAGAGGGCGGTAGGGACCAGGTTGACTACCCATGCTTTAGTGCCATCTGAGACAAACTATTTAAAAACTTTTTTTTATAATTCTTTAATATTGTAAAAAACATGAACACATACAAGCCTAATAGAACAAGGTTTGCTGAGACAAGTCTTGACAGCATATTTAAAGGCAGTACAAGACTACATAAGACAAAGTCTAGTGTGACAGTATGATGTGACAGATTATGTTTGCAAGTCTACATGACAAAATAAGCGCAATGTCGTTTCATTTGGCATGAACTTCCTGTTCGATGAAAGGCATAATGTACATTTAGATATGTATGGCATAGTAATGGAGAGAAAACTGGGAAAAGGTACTCTGTATATTGATGATCAGTGTTTTAGCAGGGATTCATAAATGGAGAATGACATTGGTTCAAAAGGGATCACATTCATTTTTGTTTTATATTTTATTTCCTTTTCCTATTGTTGCAGTCAAGCATGTAAAAAGAGACAAGTGTGTTCTAAAGTAAACTTGAAAGATATGGAGATAGGGGGAGAGGGATTACAATGGTGATTATTTTCCACACTATATACAAGTAATGGTGTTAATCAATTAATCAATTGGCTAATTCTTAAGCACTTGAAATGCTAACTGTGGGATCGCATTATAGGTTTGATCACTCATCCTTCCTATCTCCACTCACTCCAATATTGTGGAACAAACTATTTCACCTGGCTTTACACTCAAACACTTTACACGATTTGAGGATA